TGCCTCTGCCTCTGCCTCTGCCTCTGCCTCTGCCTCTGCCTCTGCCTCTGCCTCTGCCTCTGCCTCTGCTGGGATTAAAGGCACATATCCTGCCTGATTGAAAAAAAAATGATTAAGATAAAATAAATTAACTAAGCGACCTCACATATTTTCACTAAGTGTTGTAGCTTTGTTTAATCTTTAAATTTTGTTTTAAGTTACACTTTTGGAGCAATGTTACCTAAAAAGCTGCGGAATCATATATCTTGTTAATTATAAATTTCAAATAGAAGGTATCAGGAATAATTCAAACATAGTATAGCAGTAAAAAAATGCACAGCATAACCATTCAAGATAGGCAAGGCTAAGGGCTACAGTCAGACCTTCATACATAGCAACCCTGTGCCCAGAGTACACAAACTATCAGGAAAAGCTGTGACAGCCACACTAGGGACACAAAAGTTCTTTCATTCTTGGGCAGTCCTTTCCCAAGAAAGAGGTGGAGGCAAGTTAACACAGGATTTTTTAAAAGATATACTAAAATGAAAATCTCTAAGAGAAAATGTCTTCCTTAGGACATGAAGGGATCACACATGAGCTATAACAGAACCATGTGTATGCCATCATATTATTACATTATATGATCTTTCATTAGATAAACACAAACAGATGGAGGCCAAGCAATTAGTCTAGTTTAAATATTGCCAGATATGTTTGCAATCATATGTAAACAAATCGTAGTGTAATTAAATATGTGTGTGATTTGGGGAATCTTTGTTTTAAGATGTGACGTCACAGCAGGTAATATCCTGTAGCTGCTCTTTCTCATTGTCAATAGTCAGAGAATTTCCAGTTCACTACACAGAAGATAAATTCATTTTAAAAGTTTTAAATTGTGTGTGTGTGTATTTGTGCTCTAGAACAGATTTTGAAATTGGTTCACTTCTACCGGGTGGGTCCTGCTGGGTCAAACTCAGGCAGCCAGGCATGTGGCAAGCGCTTTTACCCACTGAGCCATCTCACTGCCTCCAGGTTCACGTACTGAGAAGCTTTATAATCACCTATTGTGCACATGCTGTACTTTATTCATCTTTCCTTTTGGCAAGTGCTCTGCTTGCTTCAGATTTCTTTTGTTTTTGGTTTGGTTTGCTGCTGCAAACCTAGGTCTGACCTAGGGCCTTGCGTATGTTACGCAAGTACTCTACCAGGAGGCTACATTCCAAACCCTCTTCTAACTTTTGGTTTTTGAGATCAGGTCTCGATAAGTGACCCAGTTCAGGCATTCCTTGACCTGGTGATCCTCACGCCTTCTACTCCCATCTTTTTTGTGTGTGCGTGTTTGCTCCTTTGTGTCTTATGGATATACGCGTGAGGGGAGATGAGGAACTTGGGCGCTGGCTTCTGCTCTTTGCTCTACTTGGTTGATGGTCTGTGAAGTTGAACATGCCTTTTCTTTTTGCTAATCTGTTTTAAAAAATATTGTTGTTTTTTTTTTTTTCTCTTCAGCAGTTGAGGTTAGGATCTAAAAGACAGAAAGAATATACTTTATAGATTTTAAAGATTTTATTAATTTATGTTTATAGTTTATGGAAATGTGCATAATGAATATATCCTTCCTCCTTTTGAAGAATGGAATGACTCCTTTAATGCATGCAGCATACAAAGGAAAGCTTGATATGTGCAAATTACTCCTGCGACACGGAGCCGATGTAAACTGCCACCAGCACGAGCACGGCTACACGGCCCTCATGTTCGCTGCACTTTCCGGTAAGGTTTTACTGTTTACTCTGTCAGTGGGAATTACCTTCACAGTCTAAACACACATAGATTTTTAAATTCAATGCATGTTTTACTTTAGTAAGTTTTCGAAGTTTAATAGAAGAGAGTGGTGAGAATTGACTTCTGAACAGCTGTGATGCAGCCAGGTGCTGGTGTCACACCTTTAATCTCGGCGCTTGGAGGCAGAGGCGGGGAAGCCTCTGAGTCTGAGGCCAGCCTGGTCTGCAGAGCAAGGTCCGAGAAAGCCAGGGCTGCACAGAGAAACCTTGAAAAACCAAATAAAATTAAAAAAATAAAAATAAAAGTTATAATGCCTGAAACAAGTTATGTAGCTAGTGATCTGTTTCTTTTCTTGTTTTAACGTATATTTACTTATTGGGGTTGGAGGATATTTGCACCTACCTCAGCACTGACCTGCAGGTTGGACAACTTTCAGGAGTCAGTTCCTTCCTTCTTCCATCGTGTTGCTTGTGGGGACTGAACTCTAACCCTCAGCATTACCCACTTAAGCATCTTGCCAGCCGAGGGACCTGTTTCATTAGGGACTTAAAATCAATTGGTATTCTATACATCTCTTCTTTCAGTTGGCCCCTTCGAGTCTTGTTCTTTACATTTAAGTGAAATCCATGTATTTCTTTGCTTTTCTGATCAAACAGCTGTGATGACAGTGCTGGCCATTTGCCTAGATGGGTCATCCATGCAGAAACTTACTCTTACATGCTTACACTACTGTTTACAGAGTAAGATAATTGAAGATGTCACTGAAAATAAAATAGGGGTTAAGTGTTGAGGCTTCCCTCCGACCTCCATCCCCTTTTTTTGTTGTTTTCAAGACAGGGTTTATCTGTGTAGCCCTGGTGTCCTGGAACTCACTCAGTAGACCAGGCTGGCCTCAAACCCTGAGAGATCCACCTGCCTCTACCTCCTGAGTGCTGGGATCAAAGGCCTGTGCCACTGTGCCTGACTCCCTTTTGTTGTTGTTGTTGTTGTTATTATTATTGTTGTAGTTTTTCTTGTTGCTGTTTTGAGACAGGATCTCACTGGGTAGACATGGCCTAGAACTCACAGAGATCCTGAGATCAGAGTCAAAAGTTCTGATTTTAAAGGCACTGATTACATTATAATTGTTGAGCACAAAGGCATTTCTAAGTATTGTATACAATAAATAATCTATAAATAATAAAGGCATCAGGGTCTGGAGAGATAGCTTAGAAGTTATGAATACCTACTAGGGATGGTGGAAGCCACGCAATGTCACTGTTCCTCTGAGCAAAGAACTGTGGGCAAATGGGTACAAAATTGCACAGCAAGAAAACCTTTAACCTGGAGAAGTAGAACCATACCCAAGAGGGCGTCATCATTGGAATTTGAACCAGCAGCAACAGCAGCAGCAAACACCCTCGCCAATACCTGTGAATGGATACCAGGCCAGCAGCCAGAATGAAGGCTTGGCCTGAAGAATTGTAGGAAGCCAGGAGAGATCCACACCTGGCATAGCCTCCCCTTTGTGGGCAATCTTCCCCAGATGTCACAGAAGAGGAAATGAGGAAACTTTCTGAGAAATATGATAAAGTAGGTGACGTTTTCATTCATAAGGAGAAAGGCTTTGGCTTCAGCCTCTTGGAAAGTTGAACCCTATTGGAAATTGCCAAAGAAGAGCAGGACAATATGCCTGTCTGTGGAAAGCAGCTGCGCATGTACCTTGCCTGTACTAGGGCCTCCCTTACAGCCTGCAATCTTTCTAAGTACATATCCACAGAACCGCTTGAATAAGCCATTTCTGTGTTTGGCCAGGAGGAGAGGGCTGTGGTTGTTGTGGATGACTGAGGAAGGCCCTCAGAGAAAGACATTGTTGAGTTTTGAGGGAAGTCAGCTGCTCAGAAAGCTCTGGACAAGTGCAGTGGGGGCTCTTCCTCGGCCTGTGACTGTGGAGCCAATGGACATCATGAAGACGGTCTTCCAGAGAAGCTGGTTATAACCTGCCCCGCCTCCTCCACCCAGCAATTTCATATGGAGTGAGAGTAGCTGCCCAGATGTGCAAGCCTTGGTCTGAGTATGAATAAGCCATGTGCCTCGAAGGTGCTCCTTGAGATGGAGAAGCAACAACAGGGTCAAGTGGGCCAAAAGATCAAGGAAGCTAGTGAGAAGCTGGAGATAGAAGCAACATGCCCTAAACACTAGGTTATGCTAATAAGGGAGGATTTGATGAGATGTCGAGAAGAGCTTTGGAGAATAGAGGAGCTGCATAACCAAGATGTTCAAAGACAAAAGCAGGAGGAAGGGCGCAGGCGCTGTGAAGAAGAAAGAGGCAGCAGGAGAGATTTAACGGAACCCTCCCTGAAATGAGAGAACCAGAGATATATGGCTGGGCCGAATGGCTATGGGAGATGCTGTGAGCATAAACAATAGATGCGCCATTACCCTGCTCTGTGCCAGCTGGTGCCCTAGCTCCTCCAGAACCTGCCACTATGATGCCAGATTGTCAATGGTCAAAGGAACCGTGGGATTGACCCCAGCAATAACGCAATGTTTTGGCCAAGCTGCTACAACGGAAGGAATTAGAGCAATTGCTGTAACTCTCCCTGCGTTCAGTCGTCCAGTTCTGGGAGCTGAATTTGCTCCAAACAAATGCTACTGGTATTAAGTAAAGTTTCAATATCTCGTTACCTGCAGACCTTAAAAGAAGGGCCCATTTTGGACTAGCCAGAATTCTACCCTGGAAAAATGCTAGCGGTTCTTCCCAGTAGATAGGTCTTCCCTGCTGTACTACTTAGAGGCAGAGGGCAAGGGAGGGGGTGGAATCAACCAATCGAAATCTGTGGTATAGTGCTTTCTCAGTTTGTCTGGTGCATTCCTGAAGTGACCCGGAGAACCACTAATCTTGACCACTCCTCATTTCTGGTTTTTGTTTGTTTCTCTCTTTTCCCGTTGTCCATCGTGTTTTAATTACTCTTTCATCTTTAATCTCCTCAACCCCAGAGACACTGCCATATATACCACAAAACCCAAGCATCCTCCAGTGATCTAGCCCACTTCCTCCATTCACTCACAGGTTAGAATTCAGGCAAATGCCCACAGAGGTTACAGCGTACACATACACACAGTTCTGTTATAGCTCATGTGACCCCTTCATGTCCTAAGGACACATTTTTCTTTTGGAGGTTTTCATCTTAGTATACCTTAAAAAAAATTCTGTGTTAACCTTCCTCCATCTTTTACTTGGGAAAGGACTACCCAAGAATGAAAGACCTTTTGTGCCTATGGTGTTGCTGTTCATAGCTTTTCTCGATAGGCCTGGTGCAATCTTGGGCACGGGGTCGCTGGGCTGAAGGTCTTAGCCTTGCCTATCTTGAGTAGTTATGCTGTGCATTTTTTTGTTGCTGTTTCTATGTTTGATTTGTTCCTGATACTCTGAATTTAAAATTTTCCTGAGGAATGGAGCAGTAATGCAGCATCACCTGATTAAATTTATTTAATAGGAGTCATTTCATTGACTTTTTTTTTTTTCCAGTTGTGTTTGGTTCTATCTTAGGTCTGTGGGCTACTTGGCTTGGCCTCTGGTTCATAGCCATTCAGGCAGTGTCAGGCATGGGCTTCCTCTGTGGGGTGGGCCTCAAATTAGACCAGTCATTGGCTAGCCCACGGTTCTGCACCACCAATACCACAGCACATCTTGCAGGCAGGACAGTTTGTAGGTAGAAGGTCCCAGTGCCACCACTCACTGTGAGCCTTTTCTGGCTACAGAAAATGCCTGGTTCAGGCTCTGTACCCCCCATTACTAGGCATTTTTGTGAAGGTCACCCTTCCAGGGAGTTTTCTCCGCACTAGATTCCGATGTTGTCCTCCAAATGCATTCCATTTACATTGCTGTAGATGGCATACTCCGTAGATAGAGCTAAAATCCGAATAAAAATGAAGAAGACTAGTTACTGTGTGTCTTTAAGAGTGTCATTGCTGTCTACAAGGAGTTCTTATAACTCAACTAGAGAAAGACAAATACTGTAACAGACAACTGGACAGAAAATGAAAGAAAGAGAACCAGCTGGTCAATATATAAAATGTTTTCAGCACTAATCAAAAAGGTCAGAATCGGAGCACATATTACCATTTTGTACTTTCCATAATGCCAACAGTTAAAGTGGTAGTGCTGGGGACTTTGCCCTGGTTTGTGGAATGTTTTCCATCTACCCTTGCTGCATGGCAGCCTGGCAATATGCATTTAAAACACATGTAACCTTCGTCTGCATTTGTCAGGAAATGTTCCTAAGAAAACTATGGTTCATACTTGCAAAAATGAAACAAAAAATGCTGCTCAATCAGTGGAGAAATAGCAAAATATCTGTAGTGATTTGGAAAAATGAGAATGAGCTATAGATGTTTTACATGGAAATGTGCAGAAAGACCCCAGTGTTTAATAACTGCTCCAGAGTCTGTGGGTGTGAGAGAAGGAATGAGTCACCAGTGTTCAAAGCAGGGCTTCCGTTGCTTTTCTCGTGTTTTGTTTTTGACAATTTTGTATGCATGTTTTGACATTAGACTGAGCATGACCGTTAGGCAGACATGCTCTGTTTTATTGTTAAAAGTGATACCCCGTACTATGTTTGCATTACCAAACATGATAATTGGCTTTGTAGGAAATTAGGTTGACTAAATGGGTTTGCTCTACTTTATTTTTTGTAATTATGATTGGTATTTTTGGAAAAATGAAAATATCCATGTGGTAGAAACTTCAAAGTCAGTTAGGGAGTGAGAGAGAGAATGAAAGAAAGAGAGACAGAGGGAGGGAGAGAGAGGAAATTTGAAAGAATCTCCAATTGGCATTTCATATGGTTAACAGATTTGTTCTCTGTAACTATAGGTAATAAAGACATCACATGGGTCATGCTGGAGGCGGGCGCAAAGACGGATGTTGTGAACTCAGTGGGAAGAACAGCTGCTCAGATGGCAGCCTTTGTGGGTGAGTGTTTGCTACGTTCACAGTGACTTATTCTTAGTTTCCGCTCATATATATGTGTGTGTGTGTGTATATATATATATATATATATATATATATATATATATATATATAATTATTTTATTTGTTTGTTTAACTAATTTGCTTTTTTTGAGACATGTTCTCTGTCTGTCCTGGAACTCACTTATGTAGACCAGATCTCAGAGATCTAACTGGCTGCCTCTGCCTCTTGAGTGCAGGATTAAATGCATGTGCCACCACGCCTGGCAAAATGATCACAGTTCACTCTAACATAGTGAAATCCCGGATGGCTCTCTGGAGAAAATGAATGGCCACATGGAGTTGTCACCCTGTGGGAGACAGAGCGGTAGCGACATTTCATTGAACTTACAACTTGGAACTAATGAGCTTCATTTCTCTGATGGAGGAGGTTTGGTGCAGTGATTGAGAACATGATGTGAAGTCAGCAGACATCAGTTGAAACTCTGGCTGCCATCACTCTGTGGGAAGGTTCTTATCGTTTTTTTCTCTTTCAGCTTCTTTATTGTAGAACAGTTACAGGGCTGTTTTAAGGATTAATAGAGATGATTGACTTGAGATCTTTATGTGTAGAACCAAATAAGTAGTTGTTACTTCGGTGAATCGTTGTCAGGGCAGTGATGGCAGTGTAGGGAAGGCTTTCAGATGATAACGTTAAGCTGCTTCATTATCTTCATCAGCCTCAAACATTGATTTTGCATGCCCACTCATTCTTGGCATGTTAGTCCTATTATTTGATATAATGAAGGGGTGTAGGGGAAGTGAGTGCTTGGTCATTGATATTTTAGACTCTGAGCATGCAGTTAAGAGCCCATTGATGGAAAAGCAAAGTCAGAAACAGCTGATTTAGTGGGATCACCATTACTGGCCTTGTGATGACCGGTAATGACTTAAACAAAGTCTTTGTGGCCACACCCTGGCGAGTGTCTTTGCAGGTCCCTTGGCTACAGTGGTGAGCAAGCAGGAGCTAAGGTGCTCATGTTTTCACGGTGTTTAAAGGCAACTAGTAATGGAAAAATGGTGTGAGACTGTACTCTAAGAAAGAGTTTGAGTCCCGTAGACATGCATTGGAGAGGAGGATTTTCAACCCTTTCCCAACAGGTTTTTAAGAGAGATTGTTTAAGCTAAGGTACAATAGGAATTGATCAGGTATGGGCGACATTAATTACATATTGTATTAAGTTTCATAATCACTTTTTCTTGGAGTTAGTGGTTGCTTCTATTATTGAGCCTGGCAGTCTATTTATGTTGACTTTGTAATGACACATATTCTCATTTTAATTCATGGAATATTTGAGAAAGTTCTAGCCTTGCCGTGCCAACTTCGGAGAAGTAGTTTAAGTCTCAGAGAGGTTCTGGCTTCCCCCACAGCTAGCTACTATGAAGGGTGCCAGCACAGTGGATATGAATACTCAACTAGGAATCTGAAGGTGGGCATTTTAGTTCAGATTGTTGCTAATTAGGGTTATGGAAAAATCTCATCACTTTCATGGGCCTCAATGAAGAGGGGGTCAGGTGAGCTCCAATTTTGTTTAATTTTACAATTTTTAATTGTGTCCTACAGTTTTTGATTGTGAAACACCACAAATGAAGTCAGTTTTCCCAAAGTCACAGGATTGGAAATGAAAGAAACTGTTCTTTCAAACCCACACAATGTTGTCTTTTTTTTTTTTTCATAAAGCTACATTATTACCGAAACTTAAAAGCACAAATTGTCTATGATAGCATTCTATTTTAACAAAGAGGATGGAGTCCTTAAATCTCATTTCTCTCTTTTCTGTATTCTGTATCTGTCACACTTTTAGGCCTTTGCTCTCTGCCTTCTGCACTACTGCCTTAGTCACTGTGCCTGTAGCTTCTAGCTGTGAATTAGGTTAACCAAGTCTAGGTTAGGTAACAGATATTTTATGTACCAAAATATGGACAGTTGTCAGCTGCCTTCTCTGACTGTCTAGTTAGGGGCTGGCTGTATTAGTTATTTTTCTTCTTCCTATGACAAAATACCTAACAAAAATAATTTACGGGAGGAGGGCATATTTTATTTTGGCTCGTGATTTGAGGAGATGCAGTTCATCATTGTGAGGTGGTTGGAGTGTGAGGCCAGTCACGGAGTGTCTACAGTCAGAAAAGCAATGGATTCTGGGACTCAGCAGCCTTTCTTTTCTCCCTTTATTTACACTGGGACTCCGGTTCATGGGGTGGTTCCAGTCACAGGGAAAGAGTGGGTCTTCACTTCCCCCTTTCTGGAAACACCCTCACAGACACACTCAGAGTTGGCTCTTGAGGTGATTCCAAACAGTCAAGTGACAATGGAACTTAACGTTTCAGGGCCGGCTGGAAACAGAGTAACTTTCTTCTGGTTGTTTACGTTCTGGTTTGATACTTTTGCTGAGATACTTGAACACTGTTTTAGGCGTGAGAACTCTGTTTTACGAGCCTCGATGGAGGTTACACTGGAGAAACAGGGCAGTGGCCTTCAGCCTTCTGGTTTCCTCACCTGCTGCTGTGAATTCACACTCAAGCACCTGTATTGATTGTGGAGCTGTGATGTTTATAACCTGCTTGGGTTAGGAGACTTGCTCAGATGAATGCTGTTTTTCTCCTGGAAGATTCTGGAAGCAGATACCATTTTCTAAACATAGCACTTTGGCTGATTTCAGATTTCAGATGGTTAACTTCTCAAGATGTGAATAGACATTTCTAATAGGCAGAAAGAAGACATCAAAGACGGGGAAATGAAAGACAGGAGAAAGGCCTCTGCCTCTGATTTCCCCCACAAAACAGAAAGGCACTGATGGTTTGGCATTTAGTGGTAGCTTACACACGAATGATATTATTGTCAGGATTGAATTCTTTTTTTCACATCAGGGATATTTTCTTCTAGCCCTTACTTTTATCTCTATTCTTTTGTTTTTCACTCTGGATTTTTACTCTTTTCAGTATTAGACTTCCTGGGTATGGTGAGCCCCCTCATCTTTCCTTTTAACTTCTCTCTGAGTGGTTTTCTGAAGCATTTTTCCAATGGATCAGTTACAAATTTAGTGCACAGAAGCAAATGGGATTCTCTCTTTGAAACTGCTTATTAATTTTCAAAATTTGAGTTTTCCCGTGGCTCTTGAAAGCTTTTGGATACTCTTTTGGGTACGTTTTGGATACTGTTAGGCGGCTGTTTGAGCTCTGTGGTTGTGGTGGCAGCTATGTTGTCAGCAGAGGTCAGACACCAGAAGCTGCCTTGTAGGGGCACTGCACAGCTGCTTTACGTCACCTGGCGTCTCCTAAGCAATCAGGGAAAACTTCCAGAGTTGTGGGCCAGAGGAACAGAGACCTACAGTCTCTGTGCCTGAAGGCTAAGGTCTAGAGACACCTAGGCCCAAGCAGGAGCCATTCTAGTCCTCAGTTTCTCAAGAATGCTAAGTGACAGGCAGAACTCCCTGCCAGCTCGTGTGGGGCCTGATGGCCAGTAGCGTGGTTCCCTGCCAGCCACTTGTCAGCAGGATTACAGCCACTCCCAGGACCTTGCACACAAGGACAGGAGCCAGGGAGGCAAACCAGCATGGACCACTGTCTCTAAGACTGGCTGCCTCTCATCCCTTAGCCCTTACACAGGCAGAGAGAGAAAGGCTGTCTTCTAGAGATGTTGGGAGAGCTGGTTCCTAGGAATGTGCCCTGGCAGTTCTACCGGCTTGCCCAGAGTGACCACTCCCTGGCTCTACAGGGGTAGTGGAGAGGGATCTGTGGATGGGATATCAGGAGCAGGGCCAGGCCACCAGCTTTCCTGGGAAGACTGTGCAGTAGGAGAGCTCTTACTTAAGCCACGATATAAATGGCTCAAGGACGTGGCTTAGGAACCTGTCAGGGGCTGGAGTGTTGATTCTAAGCTCTGTTCTTCATTCACAATGAGGCAAGCTTCTCTCCAATTCTGGGGGATGGGAGGAGCTATTACTTGATAATATTGGTGATTATAACAAAGATACTTTGCACAGAACTGGGGGAACCAGTTCTGCACGTCATTGGGGGAAACATGAGTGTCATTGGTGTCAGGGTGGGATAAAAGATATTTGAATTGTAGTCAGTTTTGTTGTTTTTAAGTTGATAGTTTGCATAATCCTCAAATTCACTGTGCATCCTCTCTTTTAAAGTTTTCTCTCTGGGGTGCTTACAAATGTTCTCTGAAATATTTTGCCTCTCCTTCTCTACTCTTTTCCTGAAGAATAAAAACATTGATACATGTTTTACCTCAAAAGCAAACAGTCCTAGCATAAAAACAACCCATACTCTGTATTTCATGATAAAAATAACAACTTTTCTGTTTTTCTATTTAAAGGTCAGCATGATTGCGTGGCTATAATCAACAATTTCTTCCCCCGAGAGAGACTGGATTACTACACTAAACCCCAGGGACTGGATAAAGAGCCAAAACTGCCTCCAAAGTTGTCAGGGCCACTGCACAAAATTATCACCACAACAAATCTCCACCCGGTCAAGGTAGCGTGCTGTCTGTTTTGTCTGCTTCTCAAATCACTGTGGTCTCAGGGTCTAAAGGGCTCTCCCTCCGTGGGGTCGGATGTCTCAGGCTGAGGTTCGTAGATGATGGGTTTGAAGCAAGCTCCCACATGCTTGAGTCATGGCAGGCGTGCCCTCACTGAAGGCCTGGAGCTGATGAGGGAAACCAAGAGAAGCGGCTGCAGACAGCCTGGCTCCAGCTGTGAGGAAACAGAAAACTTCCAGTGTCCTTCGGTCTGCCAGTGGCCCAGGCCTGTCCCCAGGGGAGAAGGGCTACCTCCCAGACAGAGGAAATCAGGGCTTCCTAGAGTGAGGGAAGGTCTGTGGAGGAAACTGTGCTGTGCCCTTGGCCCATGCTGAGTATGGCAGGCCCGGTGTGAGGCCTGGTGACACAGTCGTATACTGATTACTTCCACGGCAGTCCTTATCACTGCAGGGATGCTCAGAAGCGTAAGCATTCCATTACCCATGAGCATGCTTTTGGTGCAAGTGACTATGCGATGCCTTTAATAATTCAGTCAGCGGAATCAGAGAAATGGTCAACTTTGGCATCAGAGTTTAAATTGTTCAGTGTGAGCTTCAAGCGCCATCCTGAGCTGTTTTCTCCATCTTCAGGAATGTTTTTTTGGTTTGGTTTTATTTTGTTTTGCTTATTTTGTTTTGTTCTGGAACTGTGTTTGTAGACCAGGCTGGTGTGGGACTGACAAAAGTTCTACCTGCCTCTGGCCAGGATTAACTGTGCTACCACTGCCTAGCTTTGTTTTGCTTTTAACAACGGAGGCTATGTAAGCAATCTGAAGAAGATGAGGCTTTGTGTTTGCCCATAAGTCCCTCTGTTCTCTCTTAGGCAGTTCAGCAGTTCTTGAGAACTATCAGGAGTATCACAAGATCCTTTTTGCTGGGCTTCTAGGCACAGGCCAACTGGGCTGGGAGACTAGGTTCAATGCTGAGTCTGAGTGAACTTTCCTGCTTTCTCACTGGCTTTCATACCCATTTCCCTTCTTTCTCAGAGACTTCCATCTCTGTTTCTTTGCCGTCAGGTTGCAGAATCTAGAATCATCTGACATTTGTATGGCGCTCACTGTTTCTGCTAAATGTCTTAAAAATTGTCCTATGTTTAGGACAATACATAAAACTGTATGTCTCCTCTACAGATACATTCTGAGCAAATGAGTGCATGTGCCTGCTTACGCAGGCGGTATGCAGGGGAATGATCTGAGGTGCGCTACGTGACTGAGCGTTCAGAGACACTGTTGGAACTATGGTCCTTTCTCCAGACCCAGCCTTGCTCTCCTCGGTAGGGTTAGTCAGGCAGTTCACCTGACCCTCTGCTTCCCACCCCTGCTTTGGAAACAAAGGCCGCTCCCTTGCTATTGTCGCGGTGCCCTACTTCACCGCTTCACCCGTCTCAGAGGGTTCTGAAAGAGGAGCAGGACACCCACGTGAAGACAGACATCCTTTAACGAGAAGCACAGAACCTCTCCCCACGCGCCGCTCACCTTTTGGGGGCTTTTGTGCCTAAAATGCCCACGTCCGCATCTAGGTTATGTGGCTGCTGTAGCAATACGCGTGTTTTCAAAGGGAACCTGGGGAGTTGTGCTGGTGCCCAGACAATCATGGCCATCTGGGAGAAAGCAAAATCTCAGGCAACATCACAATAGCATGGACAAGGGCCTCTGAGGAAAGAGCGGGCAAGCGCGACAGCAGCAGTCCAGTCCCTCATTGATCAGACGGTTTTCAAGCGTCTGAAAAATAGGGGATGAAGTGAAAAGAATTAAAAATGCTGCTGCAGGAGCATAGCCTTCGCTAGCAGTTCGTGGAGAATATAAGACTCACCTTGCCCTATGCCGAAAGGAACACACTGACTTCCCTTGGAAGCGCATAAGGAAGATTTTTTTCTCTCCCTTTTTAAAATGCTGCAGGGAGCAAGGAAGCTAGTGCAAATATGACTTTGTGAGCAGCATGTTTCGGGAAATGTTTTGGGAATTCCCTACTTACTGATCATAGTCCTTGGAAACCTTTGTTCTAATTTTTAAAATAAATAAAGCTAGTGTCTCGATTTTTTCCTTTGTTTTTTTTTTTTTTGTTTGTTTTGTTTTTCTATTTTTTTTCAAGACAGGGTTTCTCTGTTTCCCTGGCTGTCCTGGACTCACTTTGTAGACCAGGCTTGCCTCAAACTCACAGTGATCCTCCTGCCTCTGCCTCCCAGAGTGCTGGGATTACAGGTGTGTGCCACCGTGCCCAGCTGAGTGTCTCTATTAAAAAAAAAAAAAAAAGTTTTAATGTAGGCTTTGTTTTAGATTTTTAAAAAGAATTTTGCCTGTAAGTTTGACTCTATACTCTTGATTATTGACACCATATATAAAATGTTGAATAGTTTTAAAATAGTTTTAAGTGATCATAGTTAGCAGAAGTATAAATGGGTAATTAGTGAATCCTCCATATAACATTACTTTTTTCCACAAATTTAAAAAAATATTTATTGATTTTATGTGTATGTATGTGTACCTGAGGTGTCACCCAACAATGGCAGTTTTGCAGGTCCTGCGTACTGAGGTCTACATCAGTTTTCCCAAAGCACTTCCCGATCAGATTTATATTGTTTGTAGACATGATCGAGGGTTGCTCATCAGAGAGCGTTAAATGAAAATATGTGCGAAGTTCTTATTTTCAATAAAAGTTTGGACTAGCAGAAACAGAAACAAAACAAAAGGATTCTAGGCCTAGCGCTCTAACTCAGTAGCGGAATGCCTGCTAAGCCTTCAGGAAGGCCACGGCTCACCTTCCAGGACCTCATAAATGCTGAAATCCCAGCACTCGCGCTGTGGAGACAGGAGGATCAGGAACTCACAGTCATCCTTACATGCAGCGTCAGGGCCAGTCTGGGATACATGAAACCTCTTTCAAAAATCCAAGAAGGAAAGAAGGGAGAGGAGGGGGAGAGAGGGAAGAGAAGGGGGGAGACATTTTCCTCATTGTGGGGTTACTGGATTTAACTGAACACAGTTGCTCAGTGATATTGTCCGGTGTATAATGAAGGGCTGTGTGGGTGCATGATGTGGTCATTTGTTAAAGTGCTGTTCAGAGGCAGCAGCTCACTGAGCTCTGGGAGGCATGCTAGCACCTCAGCACGGGCAGACGACAGGAATGCGAGCGATTCCCCAAGACTGTGTTAGCTGCACAGCACGGGGGTGTAGCAAACTGCCTTCTGACTTGAATAGTGCAGTAACTGTGATTCCAAGAAAAACCTGGACAGTCTGGGTGCCGGGCGCACTGACTGCTCCTCTATATGTGGAGATTTGGGTCCATGGGATTTCAGCGTTTGGTGGCATTTCTTCCAGATTGTGATGCTGGTGCGCGAGAATCCTCTGCTGGCGGAAGCAGCCGCTCTTGGTAAATGCTACAGGGTGATGGATTTGATCTGCGAGAAGTGCATGAAGCAGAGAGACATGAATGAAGTGCTGGCTGTGAAAATGCACTATATCAGCTGCATCTTTCAGAAATGCATTGCCTTCCTCAAGGAAGGGGAGAATAAGCTGGACACCCTGATCAAGAGGTACGTACGGCTTCTGCCATCTCCTGTAGCCGTATGCTCACCATGCCTTCTTATACGAAGCCTGATGACACATGCAACATTTTAGCAGCAGCTGTCACCGTCAGGGTCACATTTGGTCTCCCAGAAACAAGGGAGAGTATTAGACTCAGAGTTTTAGTAATTGTTTTTGTTGTTTTTAACTGATGTACTCTTGAGGAATCTGATACATCTGTTCAGAGGGTAAGTGATATGCATAGGACCACACATGGCCCGAGAGTTGGGGTTAAGTGTATTGTGAGGTAGGCTGCAGTACAGATACTTCCTGTCTCTGTTAGCACACCTGTTTAGAACTGTGTGTAACCTTTGCCCTCTGCTGGATTCCTACTGGCACTTCCTGTGTCTGTTACCACACCTGGCAGAACTCTGTGTAACCTTTGCCGCCTGACTACAGGGATCTAACACATGTGTGGTGTGGCTGAGAAAGAAGACTGAGTCACGAGGGCTTGGCTCACTGAGAGTTTCCATTCTCCCAGAAACAGCTGACTAGGTCAACAGTAACTGTTCAACCTGAGGACAGTGCTCAGACCTGTGAGGGCAGCCTTTGCGTGTGACAACCAGCTCCTGGAAACAAACTCAGGCCTACTATTCTGTCTCAGTACCAACCCAGACTGAGTCAGTCCTTGAGATTTGGGGAGACCCTGACAGTTTTAACAGGAAACTAGTGAAAGTGTTTAGGTCTTCCGAGGAGGGAACTGCTCTCTCATGACTCAGCTTGAGCGGTTTGAAACTGTCTTTCAGCTTGCTGAAAGGCAGAGCGTCTGACGGCTTCCCAGTGTATCAGGAGAAGATCATCCGAGAAAGCATCAGGAAGTTTCCGTACTGTGAAGCAACCCTCCTCCAGCAGCTGGTGCGAAGTATCGCTCCTGTGGAAATTGTAAGGCTCCTCTGTCCAGTGGGACCCCACCTCGGCACGCCGTGTCCCCTAGGACAAATTCTCCTTACTATTCGTTTTGTTGTTGTTGTTGTTTGTTTTTTGTTTTTTATTGTTTCAGGAAAGTTTTAGGAGCAAAGCTCGAAATAAGTTGACAGCATCTGTCTCCTTAGGAACTCAGTTAGTCATAAAGGGAGCAGGTTTTTAAATAGCGCTGTGGATGCTGCACTGTTTGAATACCAATTTACTGAGGGACAGAGACACACATGTGTGCATTGGTGGCTGTAAGGGGTCCTGATGGAAATTTCCAGGGTAGATGGATGCACAGACTGGTTATCTAGGGTACCAGGGTTCAGGCAAAGGGCCCCAGCGGGCCACAGCTGGATAAGCCAACAGAAGGCTGCCGGTTGTTCCTGACAGCAGTGTCACAGTGCCCCCGCTTCTTATGTGTGCCTTAAGGGCCTCTAATTAGGAATGTTCCATACTTTCAAAGAATCCATATATTCTAGCAGTAGGAGGTAAATCTGGCTGTTGTTTTGAATTACTTATTGCCTCTGGGCCACGTATCTAAGTGCTGTTTCCTGAGACACTTCATGCTGTCCTTGTTTTGAGTAGTTTTCTGTTCACCTTAGCCACACTGATTCACACTTCTGTAGGCCTTTCAACCAGTTCTTGTATTGGCCTTTAGCCTGACACAGTCCCTATAGCATAGCTTCCCCTGTTCCTTTGGTGATTTCTTTCACTTCTCGGTCTCTACTGTAGGCTGTGTCATCATCCCCAGTGTGGAAAATCAAGGTAGAAGTGAGTTCCAGTTATTCCCAGCAAAATGATTAAACTCACACAGGAGTTTGTCCACAAGCTGCTGGTCCTTTCACACAAAAGCTCTTCCTCTTTCTTAACACAGTTGGCTATTTTAGAAGCTTAGCTGGCGAGTTGTGGGGATGAATTATTGTGGATGGATACACCAGTCCCAGCCTAGAGAGTTGAATCAGTAAGGTCTTACGTATTCACATATGCTCAAGTAGCCAGACCTAGCAGACCAGGGCTGGCAGAGTGGCTGAGAAGTAGACTTGGAGTTTCTCCCATCTTTCTGCCCCATACTCACACCCATACAGGCTCACGTATGCACGTTTGTGTGCACAGATGTTCAAGGCATTAGATGCTTCCTATAGGACACATTCTCATCTCAGGCAGGCAGACAGAACAGAGGATCTTCTACCCCTGAGGGGAAGATGCACTCCACACAATCTCAGTGGCCATGCTGAGCCACACATGTGCCACACCAGTGTGGCAAATTAAATCACACTCTGTTGGTGAGAAGTTTGGAGAGTTATGTCGGAGAAGCAACCAGCAGGGGCTGGCACTCAGAATGCCAGCACTGATAGGTGGAGACTGACGCCGTTCCTCCAGGAGAGAAGTCAGAAAAGCAAACCTAGCAGACCTGCGTGTTCACACCCAACCTTGATGCCCCGGTGGGTACAAGCCTGATGACCTGAGTTCAGTCGTTGAATCCAGGAAGGAAAGAAGCAACTCCCTAAAGTTGTCCTTTGCTTTCCATGTGTATGTCATGGCACACATGTGCCAGTGCATGTACAAACACACACATATATGCAAATGCTCACACTGAAGTGCTCTATCTGCATGTGTGCCTGCATGCCAGAAGAGGGCATCAGATACCATTACGTGTGGTTGTGAGCCACCATGTAGTTGCTGGGAATTGAACTCAGGATCTCTGGATGAGCAGACAGTGCTCTTAACCACTGAGCCATCCTGCCAGCCCTAAAATTATTTTTCATAAAAGGTTTAACTTTCTGTTTATAGACCAGCAAGAAGGCTGAGCAGGTAAAGGCACTTGCCACCAGGCCTGCAAACTTGATTTTGATCACCGCAGCCCACATAATTGCATAAATAGCTAAGGTAAAATCTATATGTGTTTTTTTTTTTTTTTTTTTTTTTTTTTAGTTTTAACGATTTTTTAAATTTATTTTTTTATTAATTTCAGTTTATTCACTTTGTATCCCAACTGTAGCCCTCTCCCTCGTCCCCTCCCAATCCCAGCCTCCCTCCTTCTTCTCTTCCCATGCCCTTCCTCCAATCTACTGATAGGGGAGGTCCTTCTCCCCTTTCATCTGACCCTAGCCTATCAGGTCTAAGCCAGACTGGCTGCATTGTCCTCCTCTGTGGCCTGGTAATGCTGCTCCCACCTCAGGGGGAGGTGATCAGAGAGCCAGCCATTGAGTTCATGTCAGGGACAGCCCCTGTTCCCCTTACTAGAGAACCTACTTGGAGACTGAGCTGCCAAGGGCTACATCTGTGCAGGGGTTCTAGGTTATCGCCATGTAAGGTCCTTGGTTGGCACATTGGTCTCTGCAGGAATCCTTGGGCCCAGATTAGGATAAACATACTAAAATCTATACTTCTAAAGAAGCCAAACAACAAAGAGGATCCTAGGGAAGAGACTGAAACCTCATTCAGAAGGTCAAACAAGGTCAACATTCGAAATAGAATACAAGGAACAGGACAGCAGCCTTCCACAGAGGGTCTCTGAAAGACTCTACCCATCAGGGTATCGAAGGAGATGCTGAAACTCATAGCCAAACTTTGGGCAGAGTGCAGAGAATCTTATTAAAGAATGGAAAGATAGAAAGATCTGGAGGGGACAGGAGCTCCACAAGGAGAGCAACAGAGCCAAAAAATTATTTTTAAGAGTCAGGGCAAGCCAACATTTCATCTCTGTCCCACAAAAGAGTAATTACATCTTACAGAGCATATTGCTTAATGTTTTTCCTGCTGATTTACATTTTTAGGAAAGGTTGGTTTAAAAAATGAGATAGTATTTAAATGCCATTTAGAAAGATTTTTCTTTCAAACATTTTTGTCCTTTAAAAGTTATATAGTCTGGGTTGGAGAAATGGCTCAGAGGTTAAGAGCATTAGCTGCTCTTGCAAACATCCTGAGATCAATTCCCAGCAACCATGGGAATATGATGGCTCACAACCATCTACAATGAGATCTGCTGCCCTCTTCTGGCATTTAGGCACGTGGGCAGACTACTGTTTAAATAATAAAAGTAAATTAATCTTTAAAATTTTTAAATTAAAAAAAGGTGTTATATATTCTAAGCTGGGCTTGATAAATCATTCTAGCTACTTGAGGGACTTAGGACAGAAGAGTCACAAGTTCAAGGCCTGGCTGGGCCACAGAGTGGATTCACAAGCAAGCGTGGCGTTTTTTAGGGAATCTGAGTTGTGCACTGTAGCAGATTATATATACTTATCTTGTCTACACATTAGCAACTCACCTTTTAACTTCAAGGAAAGTAACTTGAAGGTGATGATACCCTGGCGGTGTGTGGACTGTCGAATAACTGACTAAGAAAAAGACAGAAATACAGCTTATTAGATACACCACAGTGCAGCCACAGTGAGGCAGACCACAGAGAAAAAGCAGAGACATTCTGGGGGCCTCTCAGTCAGTGTGTCAGTATCACAGTGCCTTGGTGGGCTAGGTCTGTAGGATAGAATGCCTGTGCGAGGCTCCTTTCTGGAGGGTCAAACAGACACCTCACCATTCAGACAACTCTGGCGAGTTAGTCTTAGGTGTGGCTATCTGTGCATTGTGTCATGAGTCACTAGGGGTCAAACTCCTGATGATCTGATCGTGTCTTTAAAGAACGCCATTCCCAATATTGCTGTCAGCATCCGCGTGGCCAAGGGTAGATTGTAGCCAGTATTTGTTAAGGTTGACTCTCTCTGGTCTTACTCTAGGGAGCCATGCCCTTGCTCTGAGTCCAGCCTGCTTTCAACTTGTAGCTTTCTGATTGGCTCAGCGCAGCCACCTCCCTGAGAGCATCATCCAACATTGTGACATGTACCCAGTTAAAGCATCTGCTTGTTTCCAGGCTGATTAGCAAAGTAGATGACAAGGTTACTCGTCAAGAAAGTTCTCTTCCCACAGCAGTGGCAAGAAAGATCCTCTGTGGTCATGCCTCTCTACTGTGATGACATTTTTTTTTTTTCCTGAGGCAGTAGTTCACATGCACAGCCATGCTCTTAGCAGTATAGCCTGCATTTGGTTCCCAGTTTCAGCCGGGTGAGGGTGGGTGTTGAGTGGCTCCCACTAAGCTCTCATCTTTATCTTCAGGATGAGCATGTCTCAGGCAGTTTTGTGAAAGAATGTTTGAACGTGAAATTGTCATGGTTGTGATGCCCATTAAATGTGCCACGCTTTCATCCAGTGGTGGGCAGAACTGCGTTTTGATGCAAGACTCTGTTTCTGCATGTTTTACCTGTGTGTGCTGCCGAGACCAGCAAGGGTCGTTGTGTGAGCAAAAGAATTATAGATTTAGAAAGATTCGGTATATTATTAAGTCCAGTATTCCTCACCTGTAGTACATCTTGGCATTACCTGGGACATTAATGATAATGCAGTTTCTTGGACCACAGTTAGAAATTCTGGTTTACAGTGTATGGATTGAGCAGGCAGACCCCTATTTGTAGCAAGCGTGAAGCATGCCAGTACTTGAGGGTATTGACCGTGCACCTACACTCCTGTTGAAATATAAAGTTAACTTGGGCTCATTTGCCTGATTTTTTCCTTATTAGTTTACTTATTTCAAAAGATAAATCTTAGCCCTTCTACATGGAAAGTTTCTTGTATTAAGGAACTTGATAGTTTGAGAAGCAGCTTTCAAAAATGTTTCTTGAATTTCCTGAATACTTTCTTAGACTATCATCAGTATGCAAGACAGTATGGAACATTGTTCTCAGGGGAAATTTGTTAATGATCCAGTATGACAATTGGTAAGATAATAGAAAAACACAGTCCTTATGAGGAAGAGGCAAAGACTCAGGTGAAAATTAGGAAAAAAGTTAAATGTCCAGAACAGTGGACAAGTAGCACATACGAAGATAAGTTAAAATAACCTGTTACTCTTGCTCCTCTTTGAGTGCTTCAGGCAGATAAATATTTACCCTTATAAGGTACTCCATCAAATTATTTTATAAACTTTCCACAACCTGTTCTTTTAGTAGTTCCTTAGTAAAAAAATTTCACACATCTTAAAAGCACCTTTACATTAAAGAGGTGTGTTTATTAAAGAGGGTAGAACATTCAAAAGTACAGTCATTAAAATGAAATAGATATTAGCAAGGGCTCTGTGCTTATTCTGTGGGTATTAACAGTGATTTGAAAGAGCATCAATATTGAATCGGTTTTTAACAAGAAAAAAGAATCTACAAGTTCTCCAGCTGGTTTTCTGAAGTTAGCATGGAGTTACCAACACTAATTGGAAAATGCTGGTATTTGAGAATAGGGACGCTCTTTTCTCTTGTTTATGGAAATCCAAGCCGTAATTGCTGTATGGTTTGTGTAGAAGAAGGTGCGCTCAGAAGGCTGATTCTTCACCCCAGTCTGTGCTTTCAGGAGCGTTAGCTTCTTCCTTCTCTTTCCAGTAGCCATTTTGTGTGCATGATCCCCTGTGCTCTTCCATGGAGATTCCAGTGGATTTTGTCTCCTTTTCACATTCCTCCAGGGTTCGGATCCCACTGCACTCTCTGTACTTACCCAAGCCATCACAGGACAAGTGGGCTTTGTGGATGCCGAGTTTTGCACCACCTGTGGAGAAAAAGGCGCCAGTAAAAGATGCTCGGTGTGCAAGATGGTAAGAGCAGAGTTCTTTTAAACTCGTCAGTGTGTAGCTAAGATCGCTGACTGCTGAATTCCACCAGCACATTGGTGCAGCAGTTGGTGCTAGTTTTTTAATAAATCCTAATGAATCAACAAATATTAATTTTAGACAGTAGCTCAGAAAGAGAACTGCCTGTATGCCTGGGTTTCTGTGTTCACGACCACACAGCAAAAACAAAAATAGATGAAAGGATGGAGAAGAAAAAATAGAGAGATCAGAGATCGCCAGGACACATCCTGGTGCAGGTGGGAAAGCAATGCTGGGACAGTGTACAGACGTGTGCATCTGGGGTTGCTCTCTCGGTGTTTCATCAACTCTTCCTTTTAAGCTAGGACTTAAAGACGATGTCCTAAGAACTGCATTTCCCCATGTTCTAGAGGGAACTCTGTAAAGTACGTATCTGAGTGTGTTCTTCTCACATCCTCACCCTGCACACTTGTGTGCATCTGGTACCCTCACTAAATCCCACAGGTAATCTTGACCTGTTGGTTTCAACGTTGAAACTCTTCAACATGTTCTGAGGCATCAGCATCTGCCGCCATCCTCTGCTTTGACAGCTTTACCTGCTGCATTGACTTCCTTAGCCTGTTTCCTCGCGTGCAAAACGGGCTCAGGGTGTCAGGACTAACGTTTTTTTGGATTTTTCAGACAGGGTTTCGCTGTGGAGTCTTGCCTGTCCTAGAACTTGCTCTGTAGACCAGGCAGGCCTTGAATTCACAGAGACCCACCTGACTCTGCTTCCTGAGGGCTGGAATTAAAGGTGTGCACCACCGCCGCCTGGCTGGGATCACAGGTTCTCAATATGCCAAATTAACATGTTCTTAATTTACCAAAAGTCTTTTATAGCCCATTATTGTATATCATTATTGTTTTCAAGTGTAAGGTTAAAATTACAAATCTGGACCAACACACAGCTATGGTGTACCCAACCATATGTCGTAGAAAATGTTTTTCTTTTTTCAAGGATGAGAAACAACATTTTTATAGAATAGTCCCTGGTTTAATGTTTGTTTGGAAACCATGCAGTTCTAAATCTTAAAATGTAAACAAAACCGTAATTGCTTTCAGGTAATATATTGTGATCAGACCTGCCAGAAAACACACTGGTTCCAACATAAGAAGATGTGTAAGAGTCTGAAAGATATTTATGAGAAGCAACAGTCTGAAGCAGCCAAACGGAAGAGCCAGGAGGAAAAGGGTATGTACCATCCCACAGAGCCCACCTCAAATGCAGCCTAGTTTACACTGACGCTGTGCACAGAGGAACTGAGCTGCTCTCAGAACAGAGGGGGCCTGGGGATAACCAGCTCTTGGGATACTGCATAGAACACAGTCAGCTGAGACATCACCAGCAATCAGACACACCAGCAATCAGATTCTGACATGGTTTAGTCCACATTTGACGGCCATGGAGAAATCGTAGTGTTTACCATTCACCCACAGAAGATCCCAGGGTCGTTGAAAAGGCCTTGAGTGTCCCTCATTGGCAACCAGAAGACTTTAAAGTTAGGAGCCTGTGCACTTTTAGTTACAGTTCGATATTATGAATGAAATTGTAGTTCATTCATAAGCTGCAGTTGTAGGTCCAATGCACACACTTAACTCTGCAAGCATGAGCGTAGTGAGTTACACATTTTTCCTCTTCTCATGAAATTTAAGTGACTGCTTTTTCCCTGAAGCTGGGGCTTGCTTCCACAGTGATTCTCATACCATAGGAACTTGCCAGCCCTGAGCCATAAGCCCAGAGGGTGTATCCTCCTTTCTCGGCAGCGTGTATAGTTGGAAAGAATTAGCTATGTACAAGTGACTGTTTCTAGCTGCCTTCATCTCTCCTCATGAAGTGTGGCTCTTTTTCACTTGTGCAATTGAATGATTTGCACAAAGTTCTTCTTAAAAAGAGACATTTGTTACTAAGAGACCAGTTGGTGTTCTTGCTTCGCCTCCTTTGCTCTGTATCAAACATCGGTACCCTGTGCTGAGGACAGGAAATGGGTAGGCTTTTATTTCTGAGACTCCATTGATAAACAAGTAACTAAATACAGTCAGTTACATTAAGGACATCAGGTTACTGAAAAGAAAAACTATTTAAAAACCAGATTTTTGTCATCCCCAAGTAATTCTAGTGTAGCTTTATGGCCTTAGAGCCACAGGCTCGAATTCTGTGCTGGCACTGCTCCTGCCACTGTAAAGCTTAGAACAAGTACCCAACCCCTCTTTGCAGTGTGACTGTTGATTTGTACAACAGTGACTATTATAATCAAAGTAACAGTCTGCCTCGTGTAGTGATAGTGGTTACTAGAGTCCGTGTTGTCAGACTGCCTGGCACATAGCAGCAACAAAGACTTTCACGCTCTCTTTTCAGTAGATGGAAAACTTGATGTCAACTCTAACCATGTGAATGAAGATCAGCCGGAGGCTGCAGTGGGTATCTCCCGGAAACATTCTGCTCCTGGTGATTCTGTGGAAGGGGAGAAAAGAGACGGAGTTGAGGCTGGACTGGCCAGTGCACAGGACGCTCCTTCGGGGCCGCAGCAGTCTGAGGAGTGAAAACTGCCCACCGTGGCTGGCCCGGATAGCCTTCATCCTTGGCAGATAGCTGCAGAGCTCGTGTGACTGTACCTTTGTGACGCTGCATGGCATAGTGGCAGGTCTGCACATCCCTAGAATAGAGGCTTTCAAGCATCGCTGCCTCCCACGCCTTGATTTCCTGTTGATTTCTGTTGTATAATTGAATAGGCCATTTCTGCAGAAAATGTTGTCTTTCAAAATACACAAAAATAAGTCTGTTTCCTTTCTGGCTCCCTGGTGATGGTACACAAAGGAAAAGAAATCATTTTAAAGAAGAAATCTGGGTCTGAGGGGACAAAGAAAAGAACAGGGAAGATGTGAAAGAGAAGTGATGATTAGGGAAAAGGGAATCATGGGCCCCAGAGATGGGCAGTCAGAGAAGGAAAACTTGCCTTTGAATATTGTCCTGAAGTCGGACATATGAAGCTGTAATGAGGAATACTCCATCTTCAAACAGCTTTGCCGTAATTCAGCCTGGAGTAGTTTTGAGAGAAATTATCAGGAGCCCTTTGACCTCTGTGTTTCTTGAAGGGATATTCTCTGTATTTGAACATTCAGAACGGTGGGGTCAAACACTGGGCATTCACTGTACATGCTTCTTGTAGAACCACCTCCCTCTCCATACTCACCCAAAAGGCCACCTTTATCTTTTCATGAGCCTCATCCTTTCCATAAACTGTAATTTATAGCTGTAGTTTCAAGAATGTCCAATTCTGCGTTTTAGTGTTTGCGGCATGTAAGCAAAGCTGGAGTGTCATGTCTGAAGAAGGTGCTGTGTTTCAGTTCCCTCCGTTGGCTTCAGAATAAATCTACTTACGTACACAGTTCATCTTGTTTCATAATTTGTGTTGAGAGGCTGAATATGAGAGAAGGGAACAAACACAAAGGCTGACAAATATGGATGAGTGAAGTTAAGATTATGTAATGTGTGAAATCACTGAAATTCTCCCCTCAACTCCTGCATCCTGTTGATTCTAGTCTTGCTGTGGCCATTTTTCTTCCAGCCCCAGCACACGCGTATTCTCCCATATACTACCATCATGGTTCAGTGTTGACGCCATGTGAGTAAATCAGTGTTAAAAAGTTAACTGTCCTTTTTAAACTCGTCAGCTGTACAACACTTCCCTTGCAAAACAAAGTCCTTCAGCAACGCGCCTGCTCATCTGCACCGCGCAAAACTCTCGTCTTTAGGTTGTGAATGGGCCTTCCAGACCCCTCTGCATGTTACCCAACTCCGTATGTTAACAGTTTTGGGTGCATGCCACACCGTTCTCCTCATTCCTTCCTCACTGAGCTCTCACCCACATACTTGCTGGGCTCTGGCAGTCTGTGTAGGAACCCTGGGATCCATGCACTGACAGTTTGCGTTCTCTGGGTACTCTTTTCTGCTTCATGTGTCTCAAAATTAAGGGCTGAAGAGGCCTGTGCCGTGGAGGAACTCAGAGCACTCATCTGCACTCCCAAAAGTCCCAACGGAATCCTGCTGTCCCATAGCCTGCACTGTGTTGCAAACTCAAGATGGCAACATCAGCTCAGCTCTGAATTCGCAGCCACACTACCCACTCTGAACTCATCGGCCCCGACAGTGGCGTGAGCAATTCCTCTTTAGATATAGGTATCTATCTGCGGTAGATATAGGTATCTATCTGTGGGTGCTGTTTCTCGGGGAAACCCTAATACATCAGGTGGTCTTGGCCAGTTTGGGCTTATAAAAGATCTCGTGCCAAGTGGCTTAAACCACAAATATTTGTTTCTAAGAATTCTGGAATCTAGGAGTCCAAAATCTGGGTGCTGGTCTGATTGGACTCTTCTTAAGATTATTCGTTCCCGGAAGGCCCGTCTTGCTCTATCGTTACGTGGAGGAAGAGGTCAAAATAGCGCTGTGGAAAGAGTAACCCCATTCATGAGTTTACGTTAGGGGCCTGATTTCCTCTAAACGTCCCCAATTCCAAATGCCATTGCCTTGGATTTAGTTTTTGCACTTTGGGAAGAGACTAAAGCAGGCTAGACCTGCTGACCACACCACTCGGCTTTCAAGCCATAACTGTCTTTTATGGTTGTGTTGTGTAGATACCAGGTTTTTGTGTACATACCAGGGTTTTTGTATACATACCAGGGATTTGGGGTTCTTATTCGTCTGACCTCCCAATTGATCCTGAGATAAAAGTTCTCCCTGGAGTCAGTCTTAGTGGGTCTCCATTATTTAAAACAAAAAGGATAATTAAAAAGTCTCTTTTATTAATACGTTCCATTTTTAGTATATTTTTATCTAGTCATATCTTCTATTTTGTGTTTAATTATCTTAAGGCAGTACTTTCCGGTCACAGCAAGTCAGCTGTCCATTAATAAAAAAAAATTTAAAACCCGATGTAGAAGAATGTACTTTACAAAAAGTATTTTATTTTCCTACATTGAAAAGATTTTTTATACAACGTATCCTGATGATAGCTTCCTCTCGCTCTACACTTCCTACTTCCTTCCCACCCCCTCTCTCATCCAGATTCACCCACTCCCTTTCTGTCATTAGAAAACAAACAGGCTTCTAAGGGATAATAATAAAATATGATATAATGAGATAAAACAAATACATTG